ATATATATATATATATATATATATATACACATACATACACACACATACACATATACACACACACAAACACACAGTATATATATAATTCTGTCTCTGAGCTCTTCAGGCAGTTCCTTTGACCTCATGATTCTCATTTGCTCTGACATGCACTGTGAGCTGTAAGGTCTTATATAGACAGGTGTGTGGCTTTCCTAATCAAGTCCAATCAGTATAATCAAACACAGCTGGACTCAAATGAAGGTGTAGAACCATCTCAAGGATGATCAGAAGAAATGGACAGCACCTGAGTTAAATATATGAGTGTCACAGCAAAGGGTCTGAATACTTAGGACCATGTGATATTTCAGTTTTTCTTTTTTAATAAATCTGCAAAAATGTCAACAATTCTGTGTTTTTCTGTCAATATGGGGTGCTGTGTGTACATTAATGAGGAAAAAAAATTAACTTAAATGATTTTAGCAAATGGCTGCAATATAACAAAGAGTGAAAAATTTAAGGGGGTCTGAATACTTTCCGTACCCACTGTAGGTATATGGTGTGATTCGATTTTGGTGTGTTTTGATATAACGCATAGCTTAGTTTGTGTACCTTGACGACTTAGCTCAACTACAGCAGCATTGTGTAATCGGGTAACTATGTTTATGTTTACAAAGTTACGAGAAAACTACAACATCAACACCGCTGGTGCATGGACACGTAAAGCCACCACCACCAGATGTGTCGACAGTTGCTTCTGAGACTTCCTACAAACTGTGAGTAAAACGTCATGTTTCACACTTAAATGGAAATACCCTCAACGTCGCTTTGAAAAGTCCAACATATCCATTTGTGTTCAGCAAAAGGCAGAACAAGCCCATTATTTTTCTTTTATGTTTTCTGTGCCTGATGACTCCGTTTACAAACTTATTACTGTACATGTTCACTTTCACAAATCTGAGATGTGAGGTGCTTGAATATATTCATATATATGTCTTGTTCTAACAGTGAGGCTGATTTCAATATAGCTGGAGTTCAGCAGTTGGAAAGCACTGACTCTGAAGAGGCCGGTAGTCAAGATATAGCAAAAAGGTACCATAATTGTGTTTACCAATTGTAAGTAATGCACGTGCCAAGCGCAGTGTATAAATAGTTATAATGTTTGGGGCCCATCCTGACAGAAAGTCTTTTAAAGGGGTCCTATTATGCTTTTTCACTTTTTTAATTTTAGTCAGTGTGTAGTGTGTATGTTTGGGCATAAAAAAGATCTAGAAAGTTACAAATCTCAAAGTCCACTCCAAAGGGAGATATTTAGTTTTTAAAAAATCCCTTTTCAAGAACTACAACGAACGGCTCGTTTGGACTACAGCGTTTGTTTTCCGGGCTTTGTGATATCACAAAGCGGCTCATTGGAATATCATTAAAATAATTCCCGCCTTCAGAAATTTGAATGGTTGGGGGGTGGGGAGGGGCGAGGTTGTAGTTAGAACGCTTGGTTGAGTGACTGCATCAGACGAAACGACGACGACGACGAAGAAGTGCTGCTGCAGAGTGTCAGTGTTGCCAGATTGGGCGGGTTCCCACTGCAGAGGCGCTGGTGCTGATGTAAACGTTGACAGCACACTTATCACGAGGGCTCAGCAGACAGACGTTATGATTCACGAGTGACAAGTTTTTAGCGTGATAAGTTATAACGTATCTGATTTTGAATGTAGTATGACTATATTCAAGTAATCACAATGCCTAAATATAAGTTAAAAAGCGGGAGAGTGACTCAAGTCTCAAAACGACGTGAATTATTGTGGAGTGAGATGACACGAAGGCTCTATCACTGCAACTCCGAAATCAGAGCACATTTGAATTAATCATAACCGAAACTAAATATGTCGGTTTATACGATC